GGAGTGGGTAGGTGTTTCTCCCTGCCTTCTTGGCTGTTTCGATGATCAGTTTGGCATATTTCTGGAGCATATTTTCCTCCTCAACGATGAGAGTGGTGTTCCTCGCCACAAAGTCCTGTTCTTTTAGTTTTTTAGCCATTTCTTGTGTGTAGATGACCTGTTGAGTTTTTCCTTCTTCAGTTTTAGCTCTTTGAACTTGAGGTTCTTGCTTTTCCATGAAGATTTGATCTGCTTCTTTCTTTGATTCAGTATCTCCAGAGCTTTCTTATGTTGTATTAAACCCATAAGCTTTATATTTTCTTTGAAACACAAAAAGAGGACATTTAATGCAGTTTTTCCATACAATGATAGTTTGCAGTGAACACAGCTTCTATTGCACTTTATTGTGTGCCTTCTGTCTGATTGCTTTGTGTGAGAAAAAGGCTGAATTCAATGGAGTTATCCAATAAAGTGGAAATTCTTCCCTCTGCTCCACATATTCAATATAAATGTCTATGTTTTTATTAGTATTATTAAATGACATAATTTGTGTTTATGAGTGAGTAATTCTTTAAAATGATGCTCTTGCTTGTCTGAAAGAAAATCACAGAGCATTCTTGATTAGGGCAAGAAATCTTTCTGAGAAATGGCAGTTTAAAATCAATCATGCTTAGACACGGTCATCAATGGTTCTGCTTTTAAAAAGGCTGCCATTGAAAGTGCTTTCAGATCATAAGGCATAGAGACAAGATTGTACTGATGATTAGCAGATGTTACGACAGTACATAAAAGTTTAACCTAAAAATAGACATTGTCTATCATTTGAACAATTATGTATAAATATAAATATGAATTAAAAAATATAAATGAAGTAAGTGTAGAATTGGCATTCTATTAAGGAAGATATTATTATGTAATATGACTCCATGGTTAAGGGTTATCCATTAAAGCTATTGAAGTATTTAGTTCAGTTCATCAGTTTATGTAGACAGTACAGTAACAACTCTTTACATTAAGGTAGGACCCTTAATGGGTCCTACCTTAATGTAAAGAGTTGTTACTGTACTGTCCGCTGCATCATTACAATTACCAAGCGACGTTCTTGACACCATCGGGACGTTCTCAGAATGTTTTGGAAACATTGGATTTCTAAATTAAATATTGTCCTCTAAACGTTTCCAGAACATCCTGAGTGTTCCCCGAAAGTCCTCCAAATAACGTCCCCAAACCCTTTAAAGAACTCCACATTGTGACTGTCTGGGAACGTTGTGGGAACATTACCAAGCGACGTTCCTGACACCAGCGGGACGTTCTCAGAATGTTTTGGAAACATTGGATTTCTGAATTAAATATTGTCCTCTAAATGTTCCCAGAACATCCTGAATGTTCCCTGGAGGTCCTCCAAATAACGTCCCCAAACCCTTTAAAGAACTCCACATCGTGTCTGTCTGGGAACGTTGTGGGAACGTTACCAGGCGGCGTCCTTGACACCAGTGGGGACGTTCTCAGAATGTTCTGGGAACATTGGATTTCTGAATTAAATATTGTCCTCTAAACGTTCCCAGAACATTCTGAATGTTCCCTGAAGGTCCTCCAAATAACGTCCCCAAACCCTTTAAAGAACTCCACATCGTGTCTTTCTGGGAACGTTGTGGGAACGTTACCAGGCGACGTCCTTGACACCAGCAGGGACGTTCTCAGAATGTTCTGGGAACATTGGATTTCTGAATTAAATATTGTCCTCTAAACGTTCCCAGAACATCCCGAATGTTCCCTGAAGGTCCTCCAAATAACGTCCCCAAACCCTTTAAAGAACTCCACATCGTGTCTGTCTGGGAACGTTGTGGGAACGTTACCAGGCGACGTCCTTGACACCAGCGGGGGCGTTCTCAGAATGTTCTGGGAACATTGGATTTCTGAATTAAATATTGTCCTCTAAACGTTCCCAGAACATCCCGAATGTTCCCTAAAGGTCCTCCAAATAACGTCCCCAAACCCTTTAAAGAACTCCACATCGTGTCTGTCTGGGAACGTTGTGGGAACGTTACCAGGCAACGTCCTTGACACCAGCGGGGACGTTCTCAGAACGTTCTGGGAACGTAAAATTTCTAGCTGGGTTTGCTCAAACTGGTTCTTTCTCTGACCACTCATTTCCACAGCTCCAGAATTCTGGCTACCAACCCTGGTAACTGGCTCTGTGTCTCTTTCAGCTGTCTTACCTGGCCGACCTGTATCCTTCCTGTGAGATACGGGGGCAGCGCAGTCCTTTATTCTCAAGTTTTTTTTAGCTTTTAGTATGAATATGTTAGCCTTAAGATTATTAAGCTGGTGTGTTACAAAACAATGACAAAATTCGCTTTTAGGAGATATAAGTATTCAAAACTTACAGTCTCTCACTTCCTCTAAAATGGATCACGGATTTTTATGACATCACCATAGACTTCAGATTCTCATCACATCTTCTGTCCAATCAAAACCTCTCTAGAAGTGTCCCACCCCCTATGCCATAAATACCACCTGGCCAAAGCGACCGTTGACACATCACAGAGCAATATGGAGATATCATCAGCGCTCAGGTTCGCTTCCATGGTGCTGTCAACGACTTGCCGTCTGTGAGGAACACTAAACCCTAATGGCTATTTGAAAACGGGGAGGAGCCATTCAATATGTCCCGCCTTAGCTTCCTGTTTCAGTGGAAATTACGTCAACGCATCATACAAAGCTGCATTAAAACACAACTTTGTCAGCAAATAAGCAAACTCTGACAGAAATTCTGCATTTGGTTTTAGAGGTCTATAGAGCATAGAAATAGCAGCAACATGAGGAGCAGTTACACTAAGTGCAAGGCATTCAAAAGATGTAAAATTAAGTAATGCAGCGTTTAAAAAGTTAAAGGTACCGCAGAGCGGGAATTCCACTCCGAGCAGGGCAGCGATATTAAATTACCAAGGTCAACACCAGTGTGATATAGTCTTTTGCTCTTCCGTCTGCAATTAAGAACCGAAATGAAGGAAGACATACAGTAAAGCAGCAGCGACCTGAGCTCCGATGTACGTATCATTTAGGCCTCAGCAAGCCAGCATTGCCACAACAGTCATACACGTCTTTAGCCAAATGGTAGCTCTGCTTTAGGGAAAGCAGCTGGCTGTGAACAAAGCAAGTGATCTCAGACCGTACTCAGACCGTTCGTTTGTGGGTCCGTTCGTGGTTTGATTTCTTATGTAAAAGCGACGAGGTCTTGGTCCACTTTGCGATTCTTTTCAACATGTGGACTGCTTTTGAAGAAATATCGTATACAGTGCATTCTATCTTTTGCTGTTCTGGTGCCAAGTTATCTTTTGCATCTTATTGTGCTTAAACTATCAGGTTTACATGGTTAAACACAGTCGGTTATATCTAAAGTAAAAGTAGACAGTTGGGAGTAAATCGGATGCGTCCCTGCTGCTTGAACTCTTAAAGTTGTTAAAGTCATATACACTGAAACGGCGTGCTGAAAACAGAGCTGTTTTTTTACCAGGTAAAATAAGTGTTTTCTTACAATACTAATGAGAATATTTAATTAAAGTATATTACAAACTTTTAATTTAGACCCTAAAGAATCATATTAGTACAAAAATGGCATTATATGACCCCTTTAATAAATCAACAAAAGAGAAAATCACTCACTGCTCTTCACTGAAAAACTTCAGTAGCTTAAATAAGAATCAACGTATAATTTATACAGTGAAGTCTAGTGTTTTATTATTTACATTATTCAATTTCTTATTTGAATGGTGCTGTTATATACACCTGTGGCTAAATACTGCTGTTTATTTAATTTGTATATTATGTTGTGTATTTGTAATGATTGTGTAATGATGAATGGATTCCTGTCCCTTCTACGACAACCTCAATGAAATTGTGGGTGCAAGCACTTGTCCTCGTTTGACAGATGTTGTCGAATGTGGAAGTGTGTACATGCAAAATTCACAGAAAGCTGGGATCTGAGTTCTTTTGAGGTTGTGGTGTGAACAAGAAATGGTGGTCTGAGTATCTCAGAAACTGCTGATCTCCTGGGATTTTCATGCATGACAGTGTCTAGAGTTTACAGAGAATGGGTGCAGAATTTGGTTACAGTTCTGTGGGCATAAAGGTCAGAGGAGAATGACAGGACTTTTCAGTCTCACAGCAGCTGAAATTTCACAATATTACAACAAATCTATGAGGAAGAGCACCTCTGAACACACTGGAGTTTGAATCATTGAAGTGGATGGGATACAGCAAGAACTATAGTGGGCACATACATAACAAATCTGGACAGTTCAAGAGTGTGAAAACATTAAAATATTGCAAGGTCTGACCAGTGGGTCAAAGTTTGATTAGTTAACTTGACCCCATGACCCCTTCTGGTAGATGCTTTAACTACACCATCTGAACCCAAAAGCATCTTTCCCCATTTAAGTCTATCAATAATTCGTATTTATATAACAACTTTCTCCAAAACTAAAGGTTGCTTTACATAGCCATAATCAAAGGCAACAAAGAACATATTTTTCTAACTTTTGACTTTTGAGAGTATAACAGGTTTTTTTTCTCTTACTTTTGATCAATTGAATGCATCCTTACTGAATATATATATATATTCTGTACACCCCCCCCCCCCCCCCACACACACACACACAGTTTCTTGAGCACTAAATCAGCATAAAATGATCTCTGAAGGATGTGACTGAAGACTGGAGTAATGATGCTGAAAATACAGATTTAAAATTTATTCAAATAAAATATATTCTCTGCAGTTATTTAAACTGGAATAATATTTCTATTTTCACTGTAGTCAACTAAATGCAGCTTTGGTGGGCACAGGATACATCTCTCAAAAGCATTTTTAACATAGGCTATGCAGTGTAATGTGTAACTGAGTGCAGTGTCATTAAAGTAGGCTAAATGTCTGAGAGAAGATGCTAAAAGCTAATCAGAGCAGCTGAAACTCTGAACCACAGTTCAAGGTTGATCAGATACATAGAGAGAAACACACCATAGCACTGAACTCCACAGCAGTGAAGGCCACAGACCTGCTCCATTACAGTAAGTTTTCCAAACTTTAGTCAACTTATAACATTGCTTTGACGGTGAGTCAGGGTTTTCTCCGTCTTATTTTTTGGAATATGATTACAGGATTGTGCTCAAGAGATTATTTGTGCGCATATGTCATGTTATTTAAATGCAAGACAAGAACAGCTTGTTTTTTTTAGCTTAGTTGTAAGCTAACTTAGTTGTACATTTTCTGCAGGTCTGTTTTGGAGTCTGTTTTTGTATTTGTAAATCAGTGTATGTTGGCAGTGCAAGTGTGATTCTGTTAATGAGTGATTTTAATGAACTTTGATTCTTTGCTTCAACTGTTTTTGGCAGGTCATTAACATTGATGGTGATGGTGCCTCTTTATATATAGTTCAATATAGTTTAAAGTACAAAGATGTATACAGTAGCTGCTGATAACTATAAGAACAAACAAGATGTTTCTACCATTTTTCAAGTTCCCATGTAAAAACGTAATATTGCATCAAAATTGCTTTTTGAGAGTGTAATTTTAAAAATAAATAACGTGTAAATAATAAATACCATGGTAAAATGATAGCATGGTAGCATCTTTCGTTGTTATTGCAAGGGATGTTTTAACATTTAGGTTCGACTTAAGTTATATTGTAAATGCTTGCAGTATCTGGGCGGAACCTTAACCATCGAGCACTGGAGCGATACGGACTGTTTTTGCAGACGAACCGCTGCGCTCAGGGGGATTTAAACAGGTAAAATCTGCTGTTTTTATTAGAATATCGCTGTATTATGCTTTTGCAGATGGGGCTTACTTTGTTCTGAGGATGGTAGAATTTTTTTTTCCTCCGCTACATGTGTGTGTATATATATACATAGACAGATCGCATACTGCCCGTAAAGACCTTGGCAGCTGATTAATGACCACTGCTGCTATTTAAAATGTTTCTTTCTCTCTCTCTTTTTTCCCCTGAACTATGAAACTTATCTTTAAGGTGAATTTAGAGCCTGTACCAGAATAATTATGTGCTTTCATTATTACTGCTGCTTTTATAGCTGCTCTTTTTTGCTCTCATGTGAAAATAATGTGCCACTTGCCTGGGAAAAAGTATGTGGAAAGGTTTACTAAACATGCTGTGGTTACGCCCAAACACCTAAACGTTATTACGGTAAACACCTAACTTGATTAAGAGTTCTGACTTAAAATAAGACACTTTTTATTGACTGACAGCTTTATGAGGGTTTCAAGTTCAACTTGTTCATTTTGATGTATTTAACATATTTTGATATGTGTTGTCAATGTTGAGGACAGTTGTGTACAATTTTTTTTTCAGGATTCTTTGATGAACAGAAAGTAAAAAATAATAATAATAAAATACCAGCATGTAGCTATCAGAAATGGAATCTTTTGTAACACAATACACTACTGTTTAGAAGTTTGGGGTCAGTAAGAATTTTTTTTTTTTTGTAAATAAATTAATACTTTTAAGCATGGATGCATTAAATTGATCAAAAGTGACAGTAAAGACATGTATAAACAATGTTACAAAATATTCTATTTCAAATACATGATGAATTTTCTATTCATCAAAGAACCCTGAAAAAAAATCACAACTGTTTTCAACATTGATAATAATGTTTTTTTTTGTGCATCAAATTAGCATATTAGAATGATTTCTAAAGGATCACGTGACACTGAAGACTGAAGTAATGATGCTAAAAATTCAGCTCTGCATCAGAGGAATAAATTAGGCCTAGACTACATTTACAAATATATTTAAATAGAAAAAAGTTAAATTTAATATTCCACAATATTACTGTTTTTTTCTTTTTTCTTCATTTTAATCAAATAAATGCAGCCTTGGTTGGCATAAGAGACTAGAGACTTCTTTTAAAAACCAAAAAATCTTACCATATTAGTAGTTATTTATTTTTTATTCACCCTGTACATATTTATTCACTCAAAAAAAAAACTATACAAATACAGTGTAAATAAATAAACAAATACAGTTTGTTCCTCTCTTTACAATATTAAAAATGTATTAGACGCAGTGCAGAGCAATTTAATTGAACTGCAAAAAAAGTGAAATTTTGGTGAAATATGATACAAACTTTCTCTCAGTGATTCATATTATTTTTAACCTAAAGTTTTGATTATTTATTCAACAAGCCATGAAATGATCTTCTTGTGTAATTAGCTGTCCCTTAGGATCATGTGTTTGTTTGTTTGCATAAATATTAGCAGAATACTTGTGCATTGGATGTGAAGTGTTTAATCACTGGGCTTTTTCTTTCTTTCTTGTCTCTGCAGTTTAGGATGGCTCAAGCAGACAGCAGGGCTCTGGCTTTGGGAGTTCTAGCAGGGGCTGCTGGGATCAGCTTGGCGATCGCCTACTTCCGGAAAGTTGGAGCAGGTGGGGACAGAGTCGTACACCTCAGCAGCAATGCAGATCACACGGGAGGCCGTCTGGGTCTGCAGACGGGCCAGGCTGAAGTGCTGGATCGGCTGGGTGCTCTGATCCATTGTGTGTCTGAGCTCAAAGAGGAGGTAAAAGCCCTGAAGGAGGCACTTCCACACCTGCAGGACAACGTCAGGGATCAGCTTAGGGGCCGAAGCAGGGAAGAAATTGGTGCTCGCAAGGCAAGTCCACTTCATCGAACTCCCGCCAGGAGAAAAAGAGCAGGTGTCCCAGATAGAACTGAAGGACAAAGCTCGGAAGAAGCAGAGAGTGAAGGAGGGTGAGTTTACGGAGATCCCAACTTGCCAGGTGTTTCAATTGTGCGTCTACCCCCCCCCGGTATAATGGCAGGAAATAAGCTCTATGCACGAATGCTGCTGATGTATTTCCGGTAGAATCTCAGCCAGTGTCTTTACCTCCGCATAGCGCGTTCTATAGCGAAGTGTACTAGCGGCCAAACTTTAATAAAATTCATTTTCTCAGAAACGAGACAACAATTTTAGAAACTGATTCGCTAGTCGGATTTCGCATGATATGAGAGATTACTCACCCTCAAAGTTGTCGATGTAGCTCTTCGAAACACAAATTAAGATATTTTTCGGTCCAAACATTCATAAAGTGATTACAAAATGAATCCATATGGATTGAGTACATTTGCATTAATACATTCACTCCAACATCTGTTCATCATAAAGCAATCGTGTCTCTTCAGAAGACTTGGATTAAACCACTCGATTCATATGGATTTATTTTACAACTCTTTATTAATTTTTTGGAGCGTCAAAGTTTTGGGTGAATAGACTTTCAATGGGGGGACAGAAATTCATTGAAATATCTTCATTTGCGTTCCAAAGACGAACAAAAGTCTTATGGGTTTGGAACGACATGAGGGATAGTAAATGAGGACAGAATTTTCATTGAGTAACCTATGCCTTTAATTATATTTAATGATATCACATTTGTTTCTATGACAGCCCTAGACTCGCTCGCAGTCAGATTCTTTGGTTAACCGATGCACCTTCTGTCTATCAATCATTTTACGCATTAACAGGGCTTCACAAATGTGGAAGCAGGAAGCGGAGAGCGTATTAAGTGTTCAAAACATTCAAATTCATAAGCAGTGTGTCAGTTTGTCTTGACAGAGCACCACTTTGGTACTGTCCAACCATCTTACTGGTATGATGGTATTTTTGTTGAACAGTGTTTTGAAAATAGTTGACTTCAGTGGCTAAGTTCCAGAGCAGCTAACATTTAAGGTTGGGAATTGCATTTTTTTTTTTTTCAGAGCAAATTACTCGTATGATTTACTCAAGGCCTGCAAATTATTGTGTAGAAAGTATAGTTGTTGAGAATAGACATTTTAGATATTAGAGTAAATGTTAAAGCCTACAAATATGGTCAAAATAATGAGAGTATGAATGGAATGATTATGCCTAGAAATAACTGTTTTCGATTAAATATTATTTTGACTAATTCTGTTTTTTAACTAATAGCTAATAAACCAGTAATTAAAGGGGCAGTAAGTAATTTCTTAGAAACACTGTTGATATTCGAAATCAACCCAAACACACCCCTCCCTTCATTGCTCCGCCCCCAAAATGCACAAACAAGCAATTCAAGAGTGGATGTCTCTTTATCATAGCTGAAGCGAAAGCAAAATAGTGCTTCGCGAAAATGACGATCGAACATACAGTACATAAACAAGCAAGAGTTTGTTGTTAGTCGCCAGAAGCACACAAGCTTCAGAAAAACAATGACACTCAAAACTGTCCTGTTATTAGAGAAAACATTACAACAACACCATATCTTGGTTCTGTGAAAACCAATGTTACTCGCGTATGGAGCAGAAACAACTCAAGCTTGCCCACAACCTACAAGCGTGTTGTGATGCTCGGTCCGATCCACATTTAACAACGTTTCTCAGAAATCGCTTACTGCTCATTTAAAACAAAAAACATACCGGTAACTAATGCATTCCTAGAAAATAACAAAATCAGGTTGTTTTTAACCTGTATGCCATTATGCTGATTTTAGTAGAGCATTGTTCGTTCTTAATTAAAAACATTTTGGATTTTGATTGGTTTTTGACATCTCTGCACTGGACAAATGTTACATAATTTTGAGTTTTAGGAGGATTAGTGGTGTGCACATAGCTGGGGCATGATTCAGGGAGAGAGACGAGAGCGTTCCAAATCATGTGTCGTCTGTACAGACGAGGTGAACTCCGCTGCCTCCAGTCATTTAGTGAACGATTGTTCACTAAATTCAGCATTAAGTACTTTACAAGTCTGTTCCAGTCTCACTAAATTCTGCTCCTGAAGCCATTCAGAAATAATCTGTTTTGTTTTCCATAGCATTAAACTTTAGTTCTTGTTATTTTTAACACGTTATGTTCTTCAAATATCCAAAAAAGGATTTGTTATTTTAAGCCGCTTGGTTTGTGCAATTTCGCCTCCACATACTCGGTGGAAAAAAACTCGGTGCTCAATGCTCGGTTATCATGGTTTTGAGCAGCTAAGGATGTGTTTTAACACCACAATGCAGTGCAGAAAATTGATTCAAGAGCGTGTGTGTGTAGTTTGGTCCTTGGGCCGCTTGGGCTTCAAAGGACCGCTCATCTGTCAAAACAGTTTCCTCCTTTCTGTCTCTCTTTAAAGCACCGGCCGACCAGTCTAAAAGAGTGGCTGCTGATGAGTTATCACGGCTGTCTCATGTAGGAACTTGCAATTCTGTCAACGTTCCTACATTGCTAGAATGAAATCACGTCACAGCTCGCCTTAGTTGTTGAAGGATCTTAATACTTGAATGTTTAAAACGATACCATTTATTATGTTTGATTGCTGTAGGTTTAGAAAAAGTTATTGTTTACATAGAGGCAGACAGGTCAGATCACTCCAGCTCTTATAGGATGGAAATGAATGAATGCACTTTAATGAACTGTTCTGCTAAATGGACTGTGACGTTTATCTGTGACTGTATAGTATTTCTAGAAAGGAAATGTTTTTGAAGATGCACATCGTTGTGTTTGGAAGTTTAATCATCAGATGCTCAGACCTATAACTTCCTTGTATTTGGACTTAAATAATAATTTATTTGTGACTTAATGTGGCGTCTCACTTGCCGACTTGGTTTGGGGTCGTTACGATTTTTTGATGCTCAAAAGAAGTCTCTTATGCCCACCAAGGCTGCATTTATTTGATCAAAATACAGTAATTGTGAAATAATATTACAATTTAAAATAACTGTTTTCTATTTGAATATGTTTTAGAATGGATTTTATGCTTGTGATGGGAAAGCTAAATTTTCAGCATCATTACTCCAGTCTTCAGTGTCACATGATCCTTCAGAAATCATTCTAATATGCTGATTTGGTGGTCAAGAAATATTTCTTATTATTATCAATGTTCAAAGCAGTTGTGCTGCTTAATATTTTTGTGCAAACTGTGATAAATAGAAAGTCAAAAAGAACACCATTTATTTGAAATAGAAATGTTTTCTAACATTATAAATATCTTTACTGTCACTGTTTTGACCATTTTAATGTGTCCTTTCTGTATAAAAGAAATAATTTCTTTCCCAAAAAAAGTTTTACTGACCTCAAACGTTAGAGGAATAAAGAACTGTTTGTGGGTTCAAACTCCCGTGGGAGCTGATGAAGTCATCTGGATGTGTGCACAGCCAGTGAGTGTTGGGATGGTAACCGCGTTCCCCCTGAACTGCTCTTCTTTTGAAAGTGTTTTCCTTTGTCTTTCATTTTAAAGGCTTGAGTTTTAATCAGTTAAACATAACTACAGTACAAACCTTCACTCTTTTACTCTATCTAAAGCCATCATAGATATCATAAAAACCATACTGTTACTTTTTACCGTGATAGTGAGGTGCTATGCGTGGTCTTTGACTGTTTTTGTCATGATCTAAATGATACAATAGAAGACCAACTGTAATTGTCATAAGAGTAGTGTTCTTTAAATTGTACCCTAAAAAATTACGTTTGTTAATAGAAATAAATTTACATCTGCATCACAACAAAAGCTTCATCAGATTTATCGTGTTGCCGGTCTTGGCAGCAATTATCTTGTCGCAAATATTGCATTGTGCGCTGCTGCTGGAAAAAAATATTTGCTTACATACTTCAAGCTTATTTTTCACAATATTTGTCATTTCATTTTAATGCTGTTGATTAGCCTATTTTATCATTCAAATGCTTTGAGTAGGCACTAACTCCCATTGAAATAGATCTACAGTATTGTGGATCACGCTGGAATGAAACCATGAGCTTCAGTGCTGGAATGTGCTGATTTATCTCATGATCAGCAACGTTCATTAACACCTCCACTAAAAGAACATGCTCAGCAGACAGAACGGAAGACTTTAGGTGATGAATGGGAGGATCAATGAATGAAAACATACAGAAAGGTCCATACACCCTTTTCACAATTGCATTGAAAGCTTTGACTGATGGAAATGTTGGGATTCACTTCAACTGCAGGTTGGACACTAGAAAGTCATTCATATATTTTTGCGAGTCATCATTTGGGAGGGTTATTTTGATTTCATATTAATCAGGGCTAGGAGAAGATAACTTATTACTCATTCTTAATATGCAAATCAAAATGTGATCAAAATCAACCCCATTTACTACTATTCATACTCTATATATGCTTAGAGTAAATAGTTTAGCCTGAATAGTGAACAAAGCACTTGTTTTGGGTGTGTAAAATGCAAAAGCATTGGCAAATATCGATTTCAATTTGTGTTTTTGTGTTTGTTCATCAAAGATGTGATGATATGATGTGGTTTTCATTGCTTTGCAAAGATAAGCAAATCAGAAGCAATAGGGATACACCGAAATGAAAATTCTTGGCCGAACCCGAAACCGATTATATTATGAAACTCTTGGTCGAAAACCGAATACTGAACACGTTTTTTTTGCTTCCCCCCCCCCCCCCCATTTATTTAGTCAAAAATGTTGAATGTTGAAACATTGAACATTTAAAAATATTTATTTAACACTGTCCAGCAGACATTATACCAACAAAGCACAATATAACTTAACTTAAAATAAATAAATTGTTAAACTAAAAATGTTTTTATTTGGCCATCTTTGAGCCTATATTAGGCCTATAACGGACTGCTGAAAGAATGTAACGTACTTTGTTTGCCTACAACCAAAAAGTGCATTGAAAAGATTGTACTAGCAATATAGGCCTAGGCTACAGTATATCATTTTGTTATTTAATTTTTTGTTAGGCCTATAAAAGAAAGAAACAAATTACAAACAACTGACAAATACCAATACAAATTAAATAAACCATGTTTTTCAGGTACAGTAGGTTAATTTAACATGTATACATTTATTTAACATCTTTTGTTGCTTGATTAACATTAATGACACTGGCAGAAAGTAAAGGCTGCTGTCACTTTAAAGTCCCACTCCGATCATATTTTGAGCTATTTTTAAACATTCCCAGTGGTCTTTAAATTATGATTATGCCATTTTTAGCCAAAATCACAAAACCTGTGCCGTTTTCTGGGACTTCGCTTCAGCAGAGCGGCAGTAGCTCATTAGCAATTCGCCTCTGCGTTGTGGGCGGAGCCATTGGCACGGAGACGACCCTCCCACCTGCCCGTTGCTGAGAGCTCTGTCTCTCCCGCTAGCTTACACCCCCAATACCGGTGGGGCAACAGTATTATATACACGTTAATTATTATTATCCGAAGTTAATCAAAGTTATCACCGATCACCGATCATTATTTCACTCCAAGACGTCGCGTGTGAAGACGCCCAGTGGAGTTACTACGTCACAACTCCAGTCTATTTTAGCGTCTGCTACTGATTCACTGCCATTTGAATGTAGAAATACTCAGAAATACAACTTTGAGCTTATTTTTCTCAAGATATGTCCTCTAACATCAGAAAAATGCCACAAGAACATGTTAACACCTAGAAAAACATTATTTTCATCGGAGTGGGTCTTTAAGGCCGAATGCTTGGATCTACTAGTAATACTGACACGTATATCCGGTTTTCACAGAGCGGTTAAGCCATAACCGACTGTATTTACGTGAGATACTGATGGGCATTTTGACAACTGTGTCAGTATTTGACCATTCAGGTGCAAAGAGAAGTGAATTCGGGATCGCACCGAATGTTTGGCAATCGAAATTATTCGTCCGAAAGTGCCTTTTTTTAGTTATATTCGGCTGAATAATTTGGGTTGCAAAACATTCGTTATTTCCCTAAGAAGCAGAGAAGTAATGCAAAGGCAAACGCTCAGGATGTTGGTTAATGTTTGTCCAGATGATGTGTCAGATCTGATTCTACAGCCAGATCCTTGACAGTTGTTGATCTTTGTGAGACGTGCTCTCGAACAAACATTGTGCTCTTGAACCCACCGTTCTGCTCATGGTGGCCACACAAAGAGGGAGATAAAAGATTGGCATCGGAATAATCCTTGTTGAAGATTCTGTTTTTCCTGAGTGTGGCTGGATCCTTCAATCCAAAGGATAGACAACTTCATTCAGATTCTGGCTGTGCAATATAGCAAAAAAAAAAAAAAAAATTAACAACATTTTTCAGACGTTTTGCCAATATTCGCAATGTTTTTGCAGGTCTTAAAGGGATACTCCACTTTTTTTGGAAATAGGCTCATTTTACAACTCCCCCAGAGTTAAACTGTTGAGTTTTACCGTTTTTGAATCCATTCAGCCGATCTCCGGTTCTGGCGGTACCACTTTTAGCATAGCTTAGCAAGTTAGCATACACCATTGAAGTGGACAAGACCATTGGCATTTCTAAAAAAAAAAAGACCAAATAGTTTCGATATTTTTCCTATTTAAAACTCGACTCTTCTGTAGTTACATCGTGCACTAAGACCGACGGAAAATGTAAAGTTGCGATTTTCTAGGCTGATATGGCTAGGAACTATACTCTCATTCCTGCGTAATAATCAAGAAACTTTACTGCCGTACCATGAGAGCAGCAGGCGTAATGATATGACGCAGCGCCTGAAAATAGGCTACCTTCCGTCAACACAACGAAACTATTTTCAGGCGCTGCGTCATATCATTACGCCCATAGACAGTATAGAGATTACGCCTGCTGCTCTCATGGTACGGCAGTAAAGTTTCTTGATTATTACGCAGGAATGAGAGTATAGTTCCTACCCATATCTGCCTAGAAAATCGCAACTTTACATTTTCCGTCGGGTTTAGTGCACGATGTAACTACAGAAGAGTCAAGTTTTAAATAGGAAAAATATTGAAACTCTTTGGCCATTTTTTTTTTTTTGAAATTCTAATGGTCTTGTCCACTTCAATGATGTATGCTAAAAGTGGTACCGCCAGAACCCGGAGATCGGCTGAATGGATTCAAAACCGGTAAAACTCAACAGTTTAACTCTGGGTAGTTGTAAAATGAGCCTATTTCCAAAAAAGTGGAGTATCCCTTTAATTCTCTCTTCCACATATTAGGGCCTTAAAAAGGTCTTAAATCAGAGCATTATCCCTTAAAACTCATCTTTGAAACGTTTTATTCCTGTGAAAATAATTTATGCATGCCTTAAAGTAGCTTGACTGTATCTTTACACCTTCATTTAGTATACGTGGAACCATTAATATGCGAATTAGTCCCTGCCTCCACTCACTCACACCGCTCGGACTAACTGATCCTGGTCTACTTTAGTAAACGCTGCTACACAATGGCGAGTGGAAATATTGGTTTAATTCAGTCATAAATGTTTGAAATAGAAACTGATTGAGAAGAAGAGGAAGACTCACCAGAATTATACAGGGTCGTCCACAAGTCGATGTATCAGAATGGTGATTCGTTTTATGTATCGCTTTCTACAGCGTCGGACACATAGCGGTAATTAATATGATTAGCCTTTGGCCAGACTACATTATCAAACAGCTAATAATGTGTTGCTACTGTTACACAAACCATGTTCTCATTCGCCGTCTCCAAGTCAGACCGCTGCCTTATAAAAATCAGTATCTTTAGAAACGTTTTAAACATCATAGAAAGTCAGTGGAGAAAAGCCCCGCCCCACACATTGACAGGATTGGTTACATGTTTGTCATGGTAGGAAACAGGGGCGGTTTAAAATCACTGTTTTTGAGACTGTCTTTGGTACACTGCAGTTTTTAAGAGAAAATACTTTTGACAAATTTGCAATTAAAAACACCACATAGACCACTGATCTGTATAATGACTGGATTGCTCATTGCGTTCTAAACTTCCGTTAGGCAGTGAAGCTACCGGAAGTGTTCGAGCGGCCATCTTATTATTCCCTACTGACAGACATTGACTTACAGCCAAAACATTCAGCTAAAATCACTCGATTTACAACATCTCAGTCTCACAGGATTGTAAATGAATTGTTACTTCAGATGTTATCTGTAATGTTTATGGTCTTTTTGGAGAGGATAACTCGTATATTGAAATCGTTAGTGTAGGTCTGTCTACTGCACACTTCCGACACAGGTAAGCGACCTACACAAATATATTTCCTTATGTACCTAATTATGGAGGAAATATTAAACATGAACATATATCTGTGTTTAGCTGCAGAAATAAATTAGAATAGCCTATACAATACATATTACCGTAATGCAAGCCTCTGTTATTATATTGTACTATATTGTAATAAAATTCTAAGTTTACCATGCATCATCTTGGAAATAAAGCAGTCAGCGTTATTTGTCTGAATAAGTTTTGATGCATTTTGGTGTTTAATTGTTTGTGCTGCTCAACTTGAGTTAGTTTTGGGATGCGACTCACAATTATGTCTGCACTGCAGAAGAAGAGAAGAAAGACATTGCAGAGGTAGAGTTGCCAGTGTACGTTTAGCTATAATGAGGGTCTGAGAAAGACATCACATCACTCAGACAGACAGATAAGAATGGCTAAAACGACTCAGATCTCTGGCAGTTAACATGTAACTTTAGCCCCTGAAATCAAAAACATCCTAGCAGTGTTAACACTGAACTAGATTAGAAGACAGCTCTATCAAGTGTATCTTTGATTCCTGGGGCTGTAGGTGATCTCCTTTGAATGTCATGAGCGACCTTCGTGTATGTAACTTTGAAGTGCCCTCGGAGGTTCCAGCTCCAACACATCCCTGCAAAACTATCGCTCGCAGTCTCAAATGTTCTCACGAACAGCATATGACGCAAATGCAGTAGGTGCCAGCTCTTAATGGAAGCCTTTTATGTTTTCACTTTTTGTCAAGCCTTTCATTTGCACCTTAACCTGTAATTAATGTTTTTACGCACTCATGTCAGCTGCTGAAAGTGTTAGTGCACACTGCACACCTACAGTCATTGAAAAACAACGTTTTTTCAAAAGCTGTAAAAGTTAGGCAGGTATCGCATGCCTTGTTTTAAGAAAAATAAACAACTCTCACAGTGCTTTTACACAAAAGCCTTTAGGTGTCGGCGCTGCAACCAGCAATCCCAATAAACAGTTAATTACCCTGCTTCACATGTACACAACCCTGTGTGATATTTTGCATGTAAACACTTTATGAATGCATATCCATTACCGACTGCATTAGTGACCAACAAAAACTCCCTTTTTTTACGTTTATTACCAAATTTATGCTTGGCCTCCAAAAGGGAATTCCTTCACTTTCTGTCACTTGAGAAGGACAAATAAAAACAGAGGTTGAAAGCATAGTAAAAAGCAAAATCTTTAACTTCTTGTTTTTAAGCATGTTGTTTCCTAAAGATGCCTTAAAAGCATTTTTGAAACCTTTAGAAACCCACTTTGCCTCTGTATTGTGAATGTAAGCAAGTCACTTCAGTTTCAATTCAGCTCCAAAATACTTTTAACGCAGTTACCATCCAAGTTACATCCTTGTTATCAAGAATTGACATTCCTGTAAAACAGCTATTCAGTCTCATAAGAAGCCAATGTCATCACAACATCAGGTGCATGATCACTCTCCTCTTTACCGTGTGCTACAGATATATAACCGCACTGACCGACTCTGAGGAAGAGAAAAGTGACGATGAACGAAAACCACTGCAGGAACCAGTGGATGAACTCATGGCTCTGTTGCAGAAAGCAGACCGACTGCACAGCTGTACCGGGGCAGAGAAAGCACAAGGCCTGAATGCTCTTCTGGAGAGGAAAGAAGAGGTATGAAAACTTCCTTTTGAAAGTTGGGTTTCAGGGTTTATGTTTTTGGGGGAAAAAAATGCTTTTATTCTGCAAAAGTGCATTGAATTTATCACAGGTGACAGTAAAGACATTTATAACGTTACAAAAGATTTCCATTTCAAATAAATGTTATTCTTTTAAACTTTCTATTCATCTGAGTATCTTGAAAAAAAAACATATATCACGGTTTCCACCAAAAATTAAGCAGCATAACTGTTTTCAACATTGATAATAATAATAATAATACATGTTTCTTGAGCACCAGATCAGCATATTAGAATGATTACTGAAGGATCATGTCACACTTGAAAATTAAGCTTCGCCATCACAGAAATAAATTACATTTTAAAATAAATTCAAATAGAAAACAGTTATTAGGGCCCAAGCCCTAAGGGGTGATGGGTCATGTTATGTTGCATGTTTTCCTAAGGTAATTTTTTTTTTTTTTTACCTTTCGGGCATATTTGTTGCCCTTAACATACTCAAAAACTCCTGAAACTTTACAACACGCTTTGGAATCGTCGGCCATCAGACCCGGGCACAAGTTGACATGAGGGGGTCGTGGGGAGGCTCTGGTGTGCAACCTTTTATATCTGACCCTGGGTCACAAAAGCAGTCACAAGTCGCATTTGTAGTTTTGCCTGCATTACAGAATAAGAAATCTCTTAAGACTTAGGATCTGTTTCTATGTTAGGATAAATAAATGCATAGAACCAGTTTATTTGTAGTGCACTGACAACATATTTTTATATAATTACTTTAATAATAAACTTAATATATATATATATATATATATATATATATATATATACTGTATATATATTAAATCTTAAAAAAATATTTTGCTGCAAATGATGAAAATGAACTTAACATTCATTTGAAAGTGACCTATAACATCCTATAACATGAAATTCATCTAAATGTAAATAATCTCATGGATGTGGCTGTTATCGTTCATGGTCATAGTGGCCCCAGCTGCTGCAGTCAATGTGGCATATTGAAGACGATTTTGACATAGTTCTTTAACATTTGAAATAATATTTCACAATATTAACATTTTTACTGTTTTTTTTTTTTAATCAAATAAATGCAGTCTTGGTGAGCATTGGTGAGAACTTTTTTTCAAAAACATTAAAATTCTTACTTACACCAAACTTTGTAATAGTAGTGTTCTGGTTTATTAAGTTACACACACGTCATGTATGTGCTTACAGTTTGATCAGAAGGGGCAGTACCTTTGGCGGTTGTCCAGAGCCTATGCAGATGCACATGATTTTGCCATGGACCTTGCAGAGAAGAAGAGCTACGCTGAAAACGGTAATCACCGCTTTCATGATTACGGGTTGATATGTATTTATACATTGTAGACATTTGAATTGAGAATTGAATCATATGACATAATGTTGGAGTCCTTGCTTTCAATTACCATTAAATGTTATTAATTTATCATAATTTGGTGGCTTTTCTCATTCAGTAAATTAGTTAATTAATTATTTGATTGAAGTAGATTAAAATAGTTAAATAATTAACTAATTACTTTATTGCCCATCTTGATTTATTCATGAAAACACTCTTAATTTGGGTGGACTCTCCATCTCTGCCTTCACTTTCTGTTCCTTTTTGTCCTCTCTCCTTGCTTATTAAATGTAACACAATATCAACTCAGTTCATGTGTGTATGGAGGGACAGGATCAACTAGTTCAGTTTCTGATACTTCTTTTCTATTGTGTCTTTAATTGCTGTCTTTAAATCCAGTCACTTCTCTGTATGAAAGCTTCATTAGCTATGTTTCCATCCGAAGTTGCAAATTTAACTTGTGTAAAAAGATTTGAACCAAGCAAATGTATTTCTCAAAAACGGTTGACATACATACAAGTACCGTCCCGCTTTACTTAACATAAACATAAATTGTAAGAATATTTCTAACAATGATGAATAACAGTACAAGGTACGGCTATTATTAGCAGCCCCAAACTAATATTTGCTAATACAAAACAGTGATAAATGAAAACAAAGTGGTATTTTCTAAACTACATTTACCATGATGGTAAATGCACAATACTAATATGAACTGTTAATTAACATATAGACACTGATCCTGATGAATAGAATGAACATCATACCTGCATGTAAATCCTTCCCAGCATGACATACCAGTTACATAATTTATTGTTAATTTCATGACTTACTAAACGTAACTACAATATTGCATGCTTGTGATTTGCTCTTTACATATAGTGAAGTGATAAAGTTTGTTTTTCTATTTATTTTGTTATAATGACACTGACATATAGCCTGTAATAGAGATGTGCGATACACATAGTCTACGATAATATCTTGATTGTTTTTTTAATGATGTGCAATCTGATAGTATTAAGTATGTCCCTCACATTACAAAGACACACCTAGAGAGTGCACACATACAAGTAGGTTAGACTAGTGCGCTTGTGCAATTAGAGTCCACGCTTCTACTGCATGATTTAGTCTACTTAAATTTTAGAATGCCCCCAATATTCAAAAAGGCAAAAACACCTCTGTATGTCTTTTATATTTATATCATTTAATATAGTTAATCAATATCACACGAAGAGTGCCGTTTTTTTTCTCCAAATATCAGCATGATTACATTAGATGTTGTATTGATTTTATACAACAGTTCAATAAACAAGAAATTAATATTAAGTGACTTATGTTTAGACACAGTATTGCCTGTTTTTGCTCTATTATTTTTGCTCAAACAAAAGCACAGGTCTGTTTTGCGTTTTTGAGTAACACACGGCGATGTTTCGTGAACGAATCAGTTGAATGAATGATTCAATGACTTACTCATTTAGACAGTCAAATGCTTCGTTCCTGAATGAACGCGTCTCATTAGGAAGTCTCATTAGAAAACTCATTTGGAAAACTTAAATTTTTTTTAATCATTTCAAATATCAATATTATGTTTAAAACATCAAAACATTTATGCATTTGTAACTGCAGGTTAAATGCCCTCATGTCCCCTCTGAGGTGCATTAAACAGTCTGTATAAATACATCTAAATCTCACTTCAGATGCAGCTTCTGTGTTTCCTCTGCATTGCAAAGATGAATTTTGTTGATACTGATTTCATTTAATTTGTAACATTATAACATTGCATACAGAATAATAATTGAATTTATTGATTAAATTTAAGAATTTGACACAACATATGATGCATAGGTTTAAAAATGGCTTTATAAAGGTAAAAGTTAAAAATCAATTTAAAGGGTTAGTTCACCCAAAAATGAAAATTCTGTCAGTAATTACTCGCCCTCATGTTGTTCCAACCCTGTAAGACTTTCGTTCATCTTCGGAACACAAATTAAGATATTTTTGATTAAATCTGAGAGCTGGATCACTCCTACATAGGCTTCTTAAGGGATCGAAACTGACCGGCCCAAAAGTTATGAAAGGCATCGTTAAAATAGTCCGAGTGACTACAGTGGCTCAACCTTAAGTTTATCAAGCGACGAGAATACTTTTTGTGCACAAAAAAAAATAAAAAAAATAACGACTTTATTCAACTAATCATTTCCTTCTCTGTACGGCCGTGATATTTCACGTAGTGATATTGCACAAAGCTTCTAGGTTGCACGTCACACGTAGGCTCACTATTGGCCGACGCTGGTCATGTGTGTGATGCGTGACGTACAACCTAGAAGCTTTGCGTAGTTTCACTACGTGAAATATCACGGCCCACAGAGAAGGAAATGATTAGTTGAATAAAGTCGTTATTTTTGTTTGTTTTTTTGCGCACAAAAAGTATTCTCATCGCTTGATAAACTTAAGGTTGGGCCACTGTAGTCACTCGGACTATTTTAACGATGTCTTTCATAACTTTTGGGCCGGCCAGTTTCGATCCCTTAAGAAGCCATCCAGCTCTCAGATTTAATAAAAAAAATCTTAATTTTTGTTTCGAAGATGAACGAAAGTCTTACGGGGTTGGAACAACATGAGGGTGAGTAATTACTGACGTAATTTTCATTTTTGGGTGAACTAACCCTTTAAACTTATTGGAAAAGATCATTTATGTCACCACTGCACAGAATATGAAGAATATCAAAAACTTTAGGAGTCAGCTGTCCACAGCAGTCCTAAACCTGCCAAGGGAAGGTACCAACACAATAAACACATTCAGCAAAATATCGACAAATTATCGTTATCGATAAAATCCCAGAAAATATCGAGATATCATTTGTCAATGGCTCAGGTATTTCAGAATGATCAAACCAACATTTGAGATGCTGTGCCATTAAAAATTGGTCTGCTGGTTAGTCCAGTTATCCAGTCTCATCTGTGTGAGTTTTTTGTTGCACATAGAGGGATTTATTTGGTAAATGTGTTTCCATCGTAGTTTATGCACTTCTTCTTATTGGATAAAAAAATGTATCTGCCTTAATTTAGCTCATGCTTTTTTACGTGCATTTTTTGAATTCATGAGCATCTTGGCATTTCCATCCAGCATTTTTTTTATACGATATCCCAAACTGCTCATAAAAATAGGTGGATGGAAACATAGCTAATGTCAAAGAGTTTGGAAGCAGATCAATCATTACTGCTATTTAAACATTTAGATGAAGTACTGTATGTCTTATTAGTCCATCAATGAGCAGGTGTGTGATTATCGACTGCAAAAATAACCTTTTAATTTAGTTTTATTTAGGCTTATAGGAGTGATAACAGATCGGATGCTGCTGGAGTGTCACGTCTTGTTTATTTTGTTTGATTTTTAATTTCAGGGAAAAAAGTTGGTGAAGAGGCAATATCCGTCAGTCCACTGTGTGCAGAAGGTCATCAGTGGTGAGTTCATGTATTGAATTAATTTGTTGTCCAATTAGGCAGTTTTACGTAATAATTTTACAACTGCGTGATTGAAGAATTTTTTTAAAGTTTCGTAGCATTATGAGTGATTACTCTTTTTTTTTTATTATCAATTTATGAATGATTCTCAAAGAAAATTTTGGGAAAAAATAAGAGGGGTGAACAATATGAAGCAGTACAATAGCTGTATGTATGAAAACCTATCAATGGTCATCTTTATTGTCAAAAATCTCATTTGTGTTTGTCATTAGGTTGCCAAGGTTGACTTCATTGCTCAGTGGCATTGTTTTTTAAGTGGTGCTTACTACATAGCCAAATGATGTCCATCTCCCCCTCTCTGGACGGAATGGGTGGAGCCTGACCTAGTCCAGATCCACATCTGTGGACCTAATGGGTGGAGTTATATTTAGCGATTTATAGATAAGGTTGGACTGTCTAGACTCTAGATCGACCCATTACGTCCAGTGAAGGGGAGCTGGACGTCTCCCCCCATTGGCTCAGCAGTGAGCATGATTCAGACAACTTGGATCATGTACCTTTACCGTTTCAGCTCACTCTTTTCCATATGCGTTTTGTCCAGAGAAATGGGTTATTTAGTAATGTAAAGTGGCGTGACTGGCTGATGGTTTCCCGGGTACCACATGCAGATCATGTGACTAATCATTAATCAAATTAGTTTCATTAATCAAATTATTTTTATTATCGATAATAATAGATTTTTATCGAGTAGTTGTTGCAGCTCTACTAGAAACTTTATACTTGTTTTTTTTTCCCATCTGCTGTAACTCTGGTGCCTGTGGTTTATGTTTTTTGGCTTTATCTCACCTATTTTTAAATAATTAATTCCCAGTGCTTCCCATACCTCTTACTGACAACTTTTTGCATAGTGTACTGTAGACTTTACTGTGCCATTCTATGGCCCTTTTTTTCTCAACAATGTCCTCAAGTTGGATTCGAGACGTTTGCAAATAAGTGAAATATACACTCACCTAAAGGATTATTAGGAACACCTGTTCAATTTCTCAATAATGCAATTATCTAATCAACCAATCACATGGCAGTTGCTTCAATGCATTTAGGGGTGTGGTCCTGGTCAAGACAATCTCCTGAACTCCAAACTGAATGTCAGAATGGGAAAGAAAGGTGATTTAAGCAATTTTGAGTGTGGCATGGTTGTTGGTGCCAGACGGGCTGGTCTGAGTATTTCACAATCTGCTCAGTTACTGGGATTTTCACGCACAACCATTTCTAGGTTTTACAAAGAATGGTCTGAAAAGGGAAAAACATCCAGTATGCGGGAGTCCTGTGGGCGAAAATGCCTTGTTGATGCTAGAGGTCAGAGGAGAATGGGCCGACTGATTCAAGCTGATAGAAGAGCAACTTTGACTGAAATAACCACTCGTTACAACCGAGGTATGCAGCAAAGCATTTGTGAAGCCACAACACACACAACCTTGAGGCGGATGGGCTACAACAGCAGAAGACCCCACTGGGTACCACTCATCTCCACTACAAATAGGAAAAAGAGGCTACAATTTGCAAGAGCTCATTAAAATTGGACAGTTGAAGACTGGAAAAATGTTGCCTGGTCTGATGAGTCTCGATTTCTTGTAGGGCTGTCGCGGTGAAGGAATTTCCCTTGCGGTAATTTTGAGTAACTCAATAGCGCGGTATGCGGTATTACCGCCATTTATTTATTTATATTTATTTGTTGCTATATAAATACGTGTTATGATGTGGTCAGCATACACAAATACAATGTGACCGAAACTAAACAGCGTTTCTGCGCATTGAAAGGCTGTCACTCAGCGCGCACATTGTTACGCCAACGGACTGTCTGTTTTGAGTGAGTCATTAAACCGTTCATCAACGAAAACGTTCAAAAAGCTGATTCCTTAAATGATATATGTAATGAAACAAGGTGTTATTTTTTAACTTTGAGCTCCACTTTGCAAGGCTCAGCTGGCCAGCAATGCTTCACTTTTGGGCAAAGCTGAAGCTTCACAAAATAAACCAATGGCATTGATTCAATGCGTGACTCGCTGCTTTCCCCCCACGACTTCCTCGCGCTGCTGACCAGCGCTGACGCCAATCATGGTAAATACCCTTACACGTTAAAAGGATGATATGACAAATATTTCGCTTTCCTTGGAAACGGCAACCTTTTCACGAACATGACTTCAAAGACAGACGCAGGTAATCGCACGCGCTCAGTCGATCACATTCACTGTCTGTTTAGGCAAATCCACGAAGTCCTCTGTACAAATCACCATGATAAACAGTCTTGTTATCATTATTAACTTACTTAACATTCAATACACATGGTATGAACTAGGAAGGGTGGCCTTATGAAAAAAGAAAACGCGGTTCGTGGTTGCTGCGGTTACTTGCATTCCTCTGCGGTTGGCCTGTCAGTACCGCGGTATTGCAACATTGCGGTTATCGCGACAGCCCTAATTTCTTGCCTTGTTACCACTGTGCAGGCTGGTGGTGGTGGTGTAATGGTGTGGGGGATGTTTTCTTGGCACACTCTAGGCCCCTTAGTGCCAATTGGGCATTGTTTAAATGCCACGGCCTACCTGAGCATTGTTTCTGACCATGTCCATCCCTTTATGGCCACCATGTACCCGTCCTCTGATGGCTACTTCCAGCAGGATAATGCACCATGTCACAAAGCTCGAATCATTTCAAATTGGTTTCTTGAACATGACAATGAGTTCACTGTACTAAAATGGCCCCCACAGTCACCAGATCTCAACCCAATAGAGCATCTTTGGGATGTGGTGGAACGGGAGCTTCGTGCCCTGGATGTGCATCCCACAAATCTCCATCAACTGCAAGAATGCTATCCTATCAATATGGGCCAACATTTCTAAAGAATGCTTTCAGCACCTTGTTGAATCAATGCCACGTAGAATTAAGGAAGTTCTGAAGGCGAAAGGGGGTCAAACACAGTATTCGTATGGTGTCCCTAATAATCCTTTAGGTGAGTGTATTTACATACTTGTTTGTAGCACCTGGGCTCCTGTGTGTGTGTTTGTGGGTATCTGAAAATATATGTGTGGGTGTCCTTGTATGTGGGTGTCCTGCACCGGAGGTGATTTTCAGGCTCGTCCCTCTGGATATACTCATCTTACAAAACTCTCTTGATAGCATCATACACCCCAGGAATGTAAACACATGCAAAGATAGCCCCAAGCTGACATGACACACAGACCTTCTTAATTGCAGTTGCTTGAAATTTCTTTATACACTACTGTTTAAAAGTATGGGGTTGTTTTTCAACATTGGTAATATCACAAATGTGTCTTGCGCAACAAATAAAAATAAAACAGAATGATTTCTGAAGGATTATGTGACCCTGAAGACTGCAGTAAAGGCCCCGATATACTTCAAGTGGAATCGAAGAACGAACTGGTGTTGTGTCATTTTATACAAAATCAAGCCAAAACTAAGTTCTTTTGGAGTTTGTTAAGGGAGTTCGAAACAGCTTCTAGACAAGTTTTCTCCGGTTGGCAAACGCCTTCATACCACCATTGGTCCATGGCGATTACGTAATAGGTAACTCTGAGGCTCTGTCTTCTTTGATGTGGAAATCTTCTCCGGTTCATTTCCTCTGATGAGTCTGTCAAGGACAGACATCCGCGAGTGAAAACATAAACACTGGAGAGAGCTGCTTTAAAGTAGAAATTAAAGTGTAATTCTAATTGAAAGCAACTCTGACACTGTTTTTTCATGTTTAATACTGTAAAGCTGTTTCGTTTAAAGCAATCTTTTGTATAAACTGCTAAATAAAAGTGATGTGACTTTACTGGACAAGAGTGTCAAGCTTGTGCAAACATTCACATCTCTATGATCAGATGCTTTCTTAACTGCTGTTTTCTCCCTGATGTCATTTTTAGTTGTGTTTATTTTGTTATTTTGCTCATATTGACATATTCATCTAAACGCCGCTCTCAGCAGCGTTGCCGGCGTTGGGATGTTCGCTAACAGTTAACTGCTGCAAAGGTTTTTCCAACTTTTTTTTACCCCTAAACGAAGAACAAAAAAGAACTTCGCTGTGAGTGTACCGGGGCCTTAACAATGCTGAAAATTAAGCTTTGCCATCACAGGAATAAATTACACTTAGAATACATTAAACTGTATATGTATAGTTTAATATATATAAATATTTCCTCACATTGAAAGTCCAGTGATGACAATTTCATCTGATGGCAAGTTGCCTGTTAATTTTCTCTCATTTGAAAGCAGTTGACTGCAAGACAGCTTTCTTTAGATCAGATCAGGTTTGGCTCCCTTTAGTTTAATTCTTTGTGAGCTTTAATGGTTTGACTGTTTATAGTGGCCAATCAATTAAATACTGTAATATTCAGTGTTGCTGTGGTCATAATCTTTGTGATTCGTTGTGTGTTTGTATTTGTTTGGTTATAGGGTGTCTTAATGAAGGTATGTTTACTGTTCTCTGTGTTTTGCCAGTGTAAATCCCTTCACAATGTTTCCGTTACCTCACAGATGCCAGGATTATCAAATAGAGCCCAGTGGAGTGTCATTGTGGCGTACGCACATACATCTCCATCACAGCTGCTTTTATCTGTCCTTGGCATTACAGTTGCTTTTGAGGATCTAGCCTTCAGCTCATTTGAATTCTGTCCTTAGCACACTGCCATGACTCTGCTTGTTGTATTATATGATTTTTTTGTGTGGCCATATTCATGTATTCACGAGCAGAACCAATTTCAGTGCAAATCAGAAGTCAAACATTTTACATTTAGTTATTTAAATAGATGTACACTACTCTTCAAAAGTTTGGAGTCAGTAAGATTTTTTTCAATATATTTTTTTTCATAATAATTTGTTTTCTGTTATATTTTAGAATGTACCGGTAATTTATTTCTGTGACGGCGAAGCTGAATTTTCATCATTATCATTACTCCAGTCTTCAGTGTCACATGATCCTTCAGAAATCATTCTAATATGCT